CACCACTCGTCATAGCCACCCATCAAAAAGTGGAAGCCATAGAAAAACTCTTTACCACGAATCCTTCCAGATCAAGTCCTCCGGATGCTCAGGAACTGAAAATCTCAAAATGTGTGTCGTGCGGCATTCAAGTACATAAACTGGGGAATACAGAAAAAATCAAACCAAGTCTCTGAAAAAATGTTCAGGGCCGAAAAACCAGGGTGTAAAAAAGTTGCAAAAAAACGAGTCGACAAATGTCATGAAAAATTTTCATCAATGATGAAGATACCCACGTCGATCTGGAAGCTTCAAAGACTTCGAAAAGCACATTTTTTCAATCAGGCAACCCAGTGAGGGTAGATTATCAACAGAAGTTGTACATGAGATCTTAATTCCCTGTAAAATTCCAAGCAAGGCTTACATACATTGAGTCAGGTGGCCTTAAAACTGAAAACCCTCTAAATGTCTCTTAGAGTTGCCAACTCGGCTTGGCTTGAATCGGCTTATCGAGTTGAGTTGAGTCAAGCTGAGTTGAGTTGACCTCAAGTAAGCCGCTGACTCAATAAGCCGGCTTATTGAGTTGTGAGTTGGAATGAGTTGGACTTGGCTTGACTCAATAAGCCGCTGGCTCCGCCTCCTCCTGCTTACACACGTATGTACAGATATATTTACTCCGCTCCACTTGTATTGACATGTTATTTGCACTTCAATTATTAACTATATAAATTATTATTCCATTTTTGATTTTTCACAATCAAAAATTTAAATTGAGACTAATATTGATAATCTACTATAAACTCAGCTGTTTTATTTTTATTGACATCATAAAATTTTAAAAATTTCGTAGGTTTTTTAAATGTGCAAATTTACTGAATTTATTTTATTTTATTAAACTACCTTACCATAATTGAACAAGGAAATATTTATTTTTAACTGTGAGTGTGACAATGGTTGCAGTTTCAGTTGATACGTGCTGCATTTAATCACACAAATTACTATATTTACATACATATGTATGTAATTGTGGAGTTTATCATAAATTGATATTACTATGTGTAAGTTTAGTATTGATTTCATTTGGATGTTTAACATTTTAAAAGTCAGCTTTTATTGTTCTAAATGTTATTTTGGTTATACATAATTATTTAATATCCATTTATTTCAACCAGAAAGCATGTCCATAAGCAGACTCGACTCATTCGGCTTAATGAGTCGAGTCAAGCCAAGCCGGCTTATTGAGTTGTGAGTCGAAACAAGCCGGCTTGCTTCTGACTCGGCTTGCTTCGACTCACAACTCAATAAGCCGGCTTGTTCTGACTCACAACTCAATAAGCCGGCTTACTGGCATCTCTAATGTCTCTTTTTGCGAGAAATTGAAAAAATTTGAGTCTTTTGCAAAAGAACGCACTCCAACCTTCGCCCCAAGGCGAACAACGTGGTAGGATTCGAACGTTAATAGCAAAAAATCAACAAGGACATTTCGGAAGCTAGTGGAAAACCGCAAATTTGAGTTTTGGTGCGGAAAGTAGGTTTGGTGGCGAAGAATGAAGAAAAATAAGTCCTCCGCAGCAAAAACTAGTTGGCATGGTTCCTACCTACACTACTTAAAAGGTTTTATAAAAAACTTCTGAGCAGGTCGAATTCCACAGGTCGTGGATCTCAGTCCAACTTAAGAGTAGATAACCTATATTTATATATATATTTATACACAATGAGATCGTATTTTTTCGACTTTCTATGATTTTCGAGTTTGATGGCTTAAAATATGCGTAATATTGAGTAGATCGGTAATCCGTAATAATATCGGGGGGCGCGCTTAATCAGTTTTAGAAGTAAATGTCAAATTATGTGATTTTTTTTAAATCTCGCGTTTTGTCTAAAACTCGTCCAAATTTGGTTTTGTACGACTAGAAATACTTTTATAATTTATTTGTTCGTGGAAGCATTTATGACATTTATTATTCTTTGCGGCAGTAAACCAATGATTAACTTATAGTTAGAAATGCTGTCAAACCTAGTTTCACTAGTTTATAGTTTTAGTCTGATGATATGTTATTGAATTTTTCAATTGACGCTAAAACCCTAAATTTGATAAGGTTTGTGAGGTAAAATGACCGATATGTTCCATACCCGTTCGCGTCGATTTCATCGAATTAAATACAAAACATTGCAAGTGATATTGTGGATACAAGGATAAATGTAACATAACATTTCTTTAATAATGTCCCACCACACCCCCTATAAAAATATAGGAAGAAAATTGGAAAAAATGAGAAAGCCAATGTACATCCTGTAGGACAAGAGTTAGACCTATACTTGCATTTGCAATTTGACTTCCCCCTTGAATACGAACATTTTGATGCATCAAGAGTTTCAAAATTCGAAAATTGGCGGTTTTTTGACCTACACATAAATCTTTAAAAATCTCATGGTCCCAGCGTTTCCCTTCGGGCAACAAAAGGCCAGATTTTTCTACTTGGGAAGAGCTACATTTTCAGCTTTTGTTGCCCGAAGGGAAACGCTGGGACCATGAGATTTTTGGGGTCAAAGTTTCTGAGGGAGGGTCTTATACGGCAAGTGCCGTAACAAACGAGGGCTAATGATGTACCAACATGTAAGTTTTTTGTATTTTGATAAGCCAACATTTAACCCAGTGTAGATAATTAAATGAAGCGCATGATTGAGTGAGCGCGACAAAGTGCGAAGGATACGCCACTGACGCGCGATGGTGCTGGCTACCCACCAGAACCCGAGTTTAACACTTTATCTCGCGAAATACGGAAAATGCTTTTATGGAACGCTTGGTCTGGTTTTCCTCTTGTATGTGTTGCTAGTTTAATATCAAATCACTATTGCTCAAAAAATAAAGGGTAGAAACCTCCAAACAATTAAATGATACATGTTTAACCTTAATTGGCACTTACCGGATGCACATTGTCACTTTTCACCTGCAATCTGGTTTGAGAAAATCTGTCTGAAATGGAAGCAATGCCGCTGCTCGTACCAGATTTGACGTCACATTCCGAAAAACCATGAAAATCTTTACGGCAATTGGAGCAGAAAATATAATCACAGGGTTCACATCTAGTCTGGAACCACTCCATTTCCGAGTCCATACCGACTTTTGTCACCTTTAAGCATTTAGGACATCGTACCTATGTACATATTTAACAAAAATTCCAAACTATTAATAAATTTCCTTATTGTTTAAAAAATTCAGGCCAGTTATTTAAATTGTAAATGGATATTAGACTCTGTCACTCATGCATTGTGGGCCACGTTTCAGGAGGAGAGACCCTCTACATGTCATCTTCAGATCTTGATGCCCTTTGCATATGTTGGAGTACATACATTATGAGTCAACTAACACCCTGAAGTGGTTTGATGCGATGGCCCCATTGGCGCCCGCTACAACAACTCAAAGGTATAAAAAACACGAAAAAAGCATTGTTTTCATCTACTTTAACTGTCACAAAAAATCCAATTTTGCTCAGATTTTCATAAAATTTACATTTTTGTGGTCCCAGATACGCTCATCGAAAAAATTCAAAATTTCAAAAAAGTTGAGATTGCTGTTAGATATGATCACACGGGTATCTGGGATCACGAGAATGTAAATTTTATGGGAACTCGAGCAAAATTGGATTTCTGGTGGGAGCTGAAGTACATGAAAACGGATTTTTTCGTGTTTTTTACACGTTTGAGCGGGTGTGGCGGGCGCAAATGGGGCTATGGCATCAAACCACTTGGGGGTTTTAGTAGACTCATAGGGTACTCCAACATATGCAAAGGGCATCAAGATCTGAAGATGACATGTAGAGGGTCTCTCCTCAGATTTTAGGGCTAATTTTACCATAAGCTAATTGAATGAATGGGAAAAAAGTTGCGAGCTGGCAGGAATCGAACTGACAACTTTTCGGTCTGATCACTACCGAGTTAACACTTTTCCCACAAAGCCGTGTGAATGGCTGATGCTTATTTTTGTAACATTAATAAGCATCAGCATAAGCATCGATTTACATTTTTTTACATTCCCATCAGCGGTTTCTCCTTTCTAAATTTACGATTCAATGCCTTGAGACGGGGTGAAGAGGATAAATGTCCCTCCCGTCCTAAAAAAATAAGCATCAGCCATTCACAGGACTTTGTGGGGAAAGTGGTAACTCGGTAGTGATCAGACCGAAAGGTTGCCGGTTCGATTCCGGCCAGCTCGCAACTTGTTTCTCATTCATGGTTCAATTGGCTTTTCAAAAATTCAATGAGTTTTCCTTATCTTCTTCCTGCATATGATTCACTCATTACCATGCTTTTCAAAAGCTAATTTTACCATAAACTAATTAGTGAAAAAATGGAAATTCTATTTTTGAAATTAAAAAGAAAGGTGGAGAAATTAAATTTTAAGAAAAATTAAAACAAAAATTGCATTTGATAAACTGAGGTTCACATTGTGTTGGGAAGGTTTCTGCAAACCTAGAAGCTGCTGCACAGTGTAATATAATGCCAGGGCAGGTCCCAAAAGTCCCTAGGGGTGTAACCCGAACTGTATATGCATATGTGTAATCAGGGGGACTCAATAGGCGCATGCCAAAATTTTTAGTGACCACACCCCCTGTGGGAGGAGTTAGCCCCCAGGGGGTGTGGTCCCTGAAATTTTTATATTTTCGGAATCAGTAACTCATACTGACTCCAAATCCAAAATGTTTTGAATTTAAAAAATTTTTTGGCCAAGATAAAGCCGTGAATATAACCAAAAACATGCGTATTTTGGAAATTTTGAAGGGGCGCAACTTTTTTTAGATCAGCCACCCTGGCGAGTTATTAACGTTCTTTAATACATATGGGGTAGTACTACAGGCCGCTACAAAAATGGCCGTCGGGAACCTGCTCACTTGGCGGTTATCCAATTTCAAAATTCCTTGAAAAACGTCTATCTGCGCCTTTTTGTAAAAGTCCGATTTGAAAAGTTTTTCTGAGTTTAGCGAACGTAAACTATAAAACCAGAACAGAACAAACATTCTAAGTATTGGTCATGGCGAAATTGCCAGAACATCCAAACATTGTTGCCTATCGAGAAGCCTGGTTTGAAGGCACGTTACAACAAACATTAACTGAATGGCTACGACGACCTGAATGTAAGACACAATTTGCTCTTTCAATGTATATTCGACACCTTTTATGACACGAACATGATGCATATTATGAAGCTAAATTAATTTAATCTTATTGATTAGCCATGCCACCACCAACTCCTGTTCTAAAAGATGCCCCTGTAAGTGTGCTCGTGAATTATTACGACTTTAATATTCGTTCGTCCTAAACAGCGATAGACACAGTAATAATTTCAGAAATATTTAGAAACGTCAAATCGTTGTCACTGAAGCGGAGAAGAATACCTTCATGTGCATAAAAATGGAACTAATGGACACCAATCTTTACCACTGGCTAAGATTGGTGTCCATTAGTTCCATTTTTATGCACATGAAGGTATTCTTCTCCGCTTCAGTGACAACGATTTGACGTTTCTAAATATTTCTGAAATTATTACTGTGTCTATCGCTGTTTAGGACGAACGAATATTAAAGTCGTAATAATTCACGAGCACACTTACAGGGGCATCTTTTAGAACAGGAGTTGGTGGTGGCATGGCTAATCAATAAGATTAAATTAATTTAGCTTCATAATATGCATCATGTTCGTGTCATAAAAGGTGTCGAATATACATTGAAAGAGCAAATTGTGTCTTACATTCAGGTCGTCGTAGCCATTCAGTTAATGTTTGTTGTAACGTGCCTTCAAACCAGGCTTCTCGATAGGCAACAATGTTTGGATGTTCTGGCAATTTCGCCATGACCAATACTTCTCGCATAAATTTTGAAAAAAATTCGAAAGCATCGGCCGCTCCAGAAGTTTTCGTGAGTAAGAGAAATTGACCCACCGAAATCCGTTTGATTGCGTATTCCTTGTTATCAAAAATGCTGCGCACTTTGAAGACCTCGCTCAAGGTCCCTTGATCCAGGCGTTCAAGTACGACAAGATTTCGCTGTTGCATCCCCTCAGATGCAGCATTATCTTGGGTGGACATTTCTATTGGAATAGGCCTGGTTTGCGGGGTGGATGCAGCACTTCGTTTCGAAAAGTCCTTCAAAAGGTCTGTAAAATTTTATATTCTCTTGAATTTTGCATTATAGCATATACATAATTAATTATATGTGTAAGTATACATACCAGCAGCATTTCGTAAATCTTCGCTCTCTAAAACAGAAATAAGCTTTGCGACCGTTGCCACGTCGTTCCCATTTCGACCCCGCCACGTTTCAAGCATCCATTGGATAACATCGTACATTGTCGCATTGCCGCTGTTGAGCTTGCTGTTCATGGAGAACAAATCCCGAGCTGGGATTCCTAAGGCGTCGCTCACTTGCTTCCATTCGTTGAGAAATGTGGTGTCTTGAAAAAAAGTATAAATATATTTTGTTGAATGAACGTAGATAACCAACTTTTTTTAAAGAGTTTACTTACCTTGAAGGAGTACTTTGATGTGTTCTAAATTTACTGGTTCCGCCATTATTATTATTTCTTAACTATGCAATATTATCGTCTCTTAACTTTGTTCTGACGACGCGCAGTTAAGAAGACAAATTATAATGATGGCTGACTTAAATAATTGAATGAGGACAATAGATAAATATGACGAATAGTTTTGGTTTATTTATTGTGTTGATCAGTCAGGCAGGATGTTTGAGCTGAATTTTATCCAAGTGGAATGGTGATAACATAAGTCAATTTAACTTTGCTTATCTAATGCTGTAAAGGATTGGATAAGTCATCGTGCTTATCATTATGCATAACTGAATATTTTGTTTACACAAAATATAAAATGCATCGTTGAAATTAATTATGAAATGGATCTGTAAAATCCTGTAATTTAAGATCAATAATTGTCTCCCTCAACCGTGGAAGGCTTGGGGTATCTATCCTTTATAAGATTTACTCTACTATCCATAACCAACCTGTCGAATAGTCCACCTCGCTTATCGGACGAAATTAAGTAATTAAAAACCTGACCATAAAATTAAATCCAATGAGTAGAAATCCGGTCTTTTGCTGCATTTTACACCCTCAGCTCCAACAACTGGAGCTCGATAGAGTCGTGACGACGTGACCTTACCTCTGCGGTTTGAGTTACCCCATTCTGCAAGGGTCGGCATTGGCCAAACTCTCCAATTTTATGGGAGGAACCAAACTATTCACCGTTTTCTTGGCCTGAAGAAAATTTTGACGGTTTGAGATCGTAATGACCTGGAGATATTTCAACCTGTCAACAAATAAAAATAACATAGGATGAGTTACGAAGATAACACTTGCATTTTGTAGTCTTTTCGTAAACTAATTAATCAACTTGAAAAAAATAAAGAGTAAAAAATGTTGAAAAATTATCCTTCATAAAGTTCTTTTTTAAGTTACGGGTGCAAACAATTTTGCATCTTCTTTATTAGTAAATCTTTGTAGCATTTGTGGACATAAAATATGTACGTGCCCGACGGTTCATAACGTGAAATTTATAGCAGGTACAATTGATAGTACGTTCATTTCGTATCTATTATAACTGATATCTTTGTACGATTCATGAAAATAAAATTTTACGTGTAGCATGCAAATAAATTACCAGGATGGATGGAGAATAAACTTGGTCTTTGCATAATCAGCAAAAGGTTCTATGATTCCATTCGAAATTTAACCTCTTTGGACGCGAAGATACAATTGTCAATAAATATAAAGTAGATACAATTTAATTAAACTAAAAAAAAACAAAATTTAAAATCGTTAAATATTATTTTAAACTCCCATCATCTCTCGAAACAAGGGGTTAATGACGTCCACCCACTTTTCATACCCTTCACGAGTAAGATGCAGTTGGTCGTCTAGGAATAAATTGGGTTCTACCACACCCCACTCGCGAGAAAAGTGGGTCCACAGGTCCAAATATCTCACTGGAGAGGTTCCAGGGTTGGCTTGATCTTGCCACTTTGAAATTCGTATGTTCACGTCGGTTAGTCGAATCCAGCGATCCGTAAAATTGTTGTCCCTGGGCATGAGACCGTTTTTTGGACCCATTGAAGCAACTACTTGGTCGTTTAATCCTAAATTTATCGAACTTGCGTCATCTCCGGTGTCCAAATATCCTGAATGTTTTTTTTAAAAATTTCGTTTATTACGTTATAACATAAAATATTTTGAATTTATTTGTAACTACCAAATGCTCCCATCCTGTTATTAAAACTATATCTTCGTCCATAAAAAATTTTGGGTCAAAGTCAGCTTTCCCAAACGTCAATCCGCCTGGGTTGAACCAAACCATTACCGGAAGCTTTTTCCCATTTTCCATGATGTCAATCTTCATCGTGTACATATGCAGAGCGAAATTAAAATTTTTCATAGTTATGCGCATGAGCTTAAAAAATAATTTTGCAACCGTTCAACCCACCAGAGGAGAAATTACAATTAGCCTTTATAAGTCTGTTATAAAGTCCTAGTCTGTGTCATACATTTTTATAGTGCTGAAGATCGTGTCATCAACATTTTTATACGACAATTTGCCTACCACTTTCCCTACTTCATAATTCATAACGCACAAGGCAACATTGACAATGCGTAGTAAGAATATATGCTTAAATTCGTTGAATAATACGTCGAAGCATACATATGTATACTAATTTTTGGAGAAAAATTTCATTTTTTATACAAACAAATTCCAGTCAGGCTTGGTAGTTTGCATGCTAGCTGGACTGGTGGTTGGAGTCGGGCGAGCAAGCATATCAAAGTTTACGTCAAGTATTTCATTTTTTTTAAATAGTCACTGTATTAATTTTAATTAAAGTTTACGTAAATATTATAGTCATCATAATATAACAAGTTAAGTTTAACAACATCAAAAAGTAAAAAAAATAATTGTATCAATTCTGAACCTGAATAAATACAAGTTAAAACACGTCTTTGTGTGAGAGAAACCAAAGCACTACCCAAGTCTCCTCTCCAGCTCAAACAAGCAAGAATGTCAGAGAGTTGTTTTTTCTACGTCAACTAATCGAAATTGTTTTGAAATCCCAGTGATCAATTTACAACAGTGGAGTGTCAAACACTGGGAGTGGTTGAGTTGACCTTGGAGTTTGGTCATGAAAACCGAAAAGAGGAAAGGCGGCGGAAGCCACAATAACGAGGTAAGAAAGTCAGGTCGTAGAAATGGGAAGGCTAAATTGTCCAGGAAATTAATTATCCTCGACCGCTGTCCTAATTAATTCTTGCAATTAATGCCTCAATTTCAGCAAGCTGCGACTGGCTCTTTGTATGCGGACATGTTATCGGATGAAATGGAGGAAGACTATTTTCTGGATTTGGAGGTAATTAACAGTCAGCAGTTCTTTTTCTTTAAATGATAGTTTATTTGAATATATTAGTTTAACATTAGAATTACTTGATACCAAGTTAATGTTATTGAATTATTAGGAGGATCTTTTGGAAATTTCTGCGGCTGCTGAAAGACCTCGTCAAAAGCCGGCCTCTCTGATCATGCACGAAACACAAGAGTCGGCAGAGTCCTTTGACGCAGACGGCAACACGAAAAGAAAAAGCTTGGAGACAAAGGTGACAAATTTCATTTTATAATTAATTAGTTTACGTAAATATTTAATCTATTCATTCATGAAACTCATAATAATGTATAATTCTGTATTTAAAACAATTCAAACAAGACGTTGTATTTTATTTACGAGTAATATTAACATAAAGTAGATAATTAAATAAAGTAAATGATTACTAACCGCATTAAATCATAATTTAATTATTTGTCACCCACAGAGAACGAGTGAAGGAATACGGAGCTTCCACTTCCGTCCACTGCAGAATCTCTTATTTCCTGACGAGGATGAAGATGAGCCAAAGAGTTCCAGAAGCTGGAAATCGAAAACAAACTCGGATTACTCGTCTCAAAACTATAATCAAACAGAATTACTGAATCGCGAGGATAAATCGAAAGATAGAAAAAGCCGACCATTGGTAAATTTCATGTTTATTTCTGTTGAAGAATCTACACGGCAGTCCAGTAAAATATGTTTACGTAAATATTTATACTAATAACTTATTGTTTCAGCAACGGTATTCGAATGCAGATAAAAAGGTGGGACTGCGTCACGGTCATCAGAGTCCAGCCAGCAAACCTGCTGATGTTAAGCGCCGTAAACTAAACAAAAAGGAGGAGGTAAACTGTAAAAAACAATTTTCACATACGAATTTACAATTCATCTTTTCATAAAATAAAATTACTGTAAATCTAGTCCTATGCTGTCATCGGAAAAGGGCAAGCCAAACTCCAGCTCCAGTTTACGAATATCAATCTGATGAAGGCAATGACGACCAGGACAAGAGTCATCGACAGTTGACGTCAACTTCAATACTCAAGGTCAGCTCACACTGTGTCAGTGTGCACTGTTTACGCAAATATAATGATGTAACTTTTAAAATTACATACTCTGTTCCCGTTTTTAAGCAGAACGATGACTCCACCACCTCTGCAAGTAACCAGGCGGCATACAAATTTTCCCAGAGTGTGTTTCAAAGTCAACGAAAACAGAATCATCATCACGAGCAAGTCAGCCCAAAAACTGTCACTAATAACTCATCATTTGTTATCGAATCTCATGACACTCAAAACGGTACAGCAATCTAAAACTTCAAATGCATGTATAAACAGTATGAATGCATGAACATATATTTTTAATTACAGATGATGGAGCATTAAACGTTGATGATGAAGATCGGATGGATGTTGATGACATGATAGAAAATGCAAAGGTGTGTTGTAAAGTCAAGTTTATTGAATTTGTTCAAATTAACTTGTACAATTTCATGTGTAGACTAACCTAAACGAGTGGAAGATTGACGCTGTTATCCAACGTGTGACCCAGTTCAAACAAAAGCTAAATAGTGCTAATGGTGCAACAAAGAGGGTCAGGAACAATGTTGTCCACGAAGAGTTAAATAAGGTTTTAAACTAAGTAAATGGTTATAATGTATCACGCAATTATCAGGATCAACTTTGATTATTATGTAGATTCAAGAAATCTTAAATTCGGAGGAAATACAAATCTTAGGAAAAGTAGACGACTACATTGAATATGTTGAACCACACAATGATTCCTTGGATCAAGCCATTGAAGCCATGAGGACACTACTACAAAACAGAAAAAACAAATCTCTTGACTCCGTTCAATGTACCACGGATTGCTCATCCATGTTTAATCATTTGGGACACGCTAGAAAACATTTTCTGTCAGTTCATTTAAAATTGAATTGTTGGAAATGCCGAAAATGTCAAACAATGTATGCACGTCGTGAGAACCTTCTGATTCACATCTCAGCCTTTCATTTTGGTAAGATAGCAATTACGTTTCACAACTACTACTTCACAATGATCAATGATTACTTACTCATTATTGCAGAAATAAAGCACGATTGCGCCGATTGCAAAATGAAACTTAGTTTCAGTAGGCTGTACAACCATACTCGTCTGGGTCATTACACGCCAACCGGACAACAAGTTTTATATTCTCCTTCTCAGAAAGTAATACAATTTCGGCTTTTTAAATCCATCGACATCACAGGTAGGGAGTAAATTATATTTCACACGTTTGTATAAAATATATGGTAATTACGCGTGCAATTTACAGAGAATGAAGGATTTACATTTAACCTGTTCAAAGTAAACTGGATAGATAAGAATGACGTACCGTACAATGTGTCAATAGGAATATCAAAGTTCGCAAACCTCCCTGAGGTTTGCCGGCTATTATGGAAGGAAATTGAAAGAGCCTGTACAGATCCGGACTCGTATCCGGAGTGGGTGAGAGCATGCGGAAGTGCAAGAAAAGAATGGTACAAAGGAAATAGGATCGACTGTACAAGTGCCGTTTCTCTTGAAATTCCTGCAGTGGGGAAGGGTGTCGCCAATCAAGTAAAGGGAGCCGCTCGTCGACACTACGACTCCATCAAAATTCTAGCTACAGATGAGTGTGAAATAGATTTACGTTATCAAATGCCTGCCATCGTTACACAGCTAGACACGTTCTTGGATGATCTTCCAGCTTACAACCGCAACTATGTCCTCGGAAAAAGAAAGTAATCAAATGTTGTAAAACGTATATTCTAACAATTGAAGTTGGTATATTTGAACTACTAAATAGTCATGAAATGTTACTCTTATTTAAAGTCAAATCTGTCTCTATTAAATACAAATCTTAATTGAATGTTTTTTATTCTTCTATTTATTCGCGAAAAAGTGAGCGAAGCCTCAGAATCTATTTTCTAAAATTATTTGCTTTCATGAATTTTCACCAAATTTGTGTCGAAGAAAAAGAGGAAAAACAGATTAATTTAATGATTTAGGATTTATGCTATATATAACGGCCAAACTAGGAAATCCATTTTATATTCCAGAAATAAGTGCGAAAACATCGATAATTGCTTTTACGGTGACCATAAATGGCAAGCCAACATTAATTCAGGATTTCACCATTCTAGGCTTTCCAACCGGATCCACCGTACCTCCATGTTTATTGGAGAGGACCCATGAGAAGGACTCGAGTGTTTGGGAGTGCTTGTCGAATCCAGTTCAACGTCGCAGTGTAACCACGCGAAATTTCTTCAGCGTTATAAGAACCAGCGCTGTTTGATCCGCAATCGGCGAAAACAATGAGTTTCAATGAATCCTGGAGTCCATCTACTTCTCCGTTTTGAATTCTCCAAAATGCGTGCTCGACTCCATCGCCTGGTTTTAAAATATTGTAATTTATATTTTTATAAACGGTTATGATTCTTTAATAATAGAAAGCTCTCAATACTAAATATATGTAAATAGTACCGGAAATGCCATAATTGACAGCTCCATATGTAGAAAAATGACGAAGAAAAAGATCATCCGGCCACCAATCAGTAATAGAAGCTCCTAGGAAAATTGCTCTGATCGTTCCATTACTGTTGATCATTGTTTGGACATAAGACTGATGTTGGGCAAGCCAGTTGGGGTCATTTCGTGGCTCGGGCACCCACGGCACACCTTTAAAAGCATCACAATACAATTGGGTAGAAATTAAAATGGGTGGGAAATAATTTCAGGGCACTTACAAGTCAATTTTGGCATGCGTCTATTGAGTCCCCCTGATTACGCATATGCATATACATTTCGGGTTCCACCCCTAGGGACTTTTGGGACCTGCCCTGGCATTATATTACACTGTGTGCTGTGAGCACCACAAACTAAGTTTTAAAATTTTCAAAATTTTCAAAATTTGAATTTTACATGCTTCTAATGGTAACTTCAAAACACTAGAACATTCTGCAACCTATAGTCTGCAATACAAATTTCATAAATTATAACGTAATTTTAGATTTCTCCACCATAAAAAAATTAGGTCCAGACGACCGGCTAACGCTGAGTTGAAAAAATGTGTCTAAAAAACTTGTAGCTCCGACCGTCTTGAAATTTGTAAAGTAGTGTCGTTTCGAGTGGAGAGACAACATCTCCACTCTCGACCTTAATGACGTGGACAGGGTCGTCAATTAATGAATCCGAGCTATCGTTAGAACTTATATAAAATGTTAACCATAAAACCATATTCATTTCGTGGAAAAATCATAAACCGTTGTAACTTTAGAAGTATCTATGTAGCTCATCCTGTAATGACAGCATAAGTTGGTACATAAAATTCTGTACCAACGGTGCAAAATAAGAGGGAACAGTGCATACATAATTTTTATGTAATTTTACACCAATGTTGGCAAATAAGCGGGGAAAATAGCCACATACCTTGGCCATAATCTCGGCTTTTTCGACGACATATTCTTATTCTGTCACTTTTATAAGTACTTATTACAGGGTGAGCTACTTCTAACGTTGCAACGGTTTATTTTTCATCAAATATATTCAGGATTACCTCGTTTTCCGCTAATTCTGCATTTCCTCCTTCACTACCCAGTTTGAGTACTGGTAAATAATGGAAATCATCGTGGGTCAGGCTACCCAGCTTAGACATTGGTAAAGGCGTACGATCCTTCGGGCACTGCGACGAGAATCCCTTGGACTTTGCCGGAGCAGTTTTTATCCTTACCCAGCACGGTTCGCAGAGCGCATGATTGCAGGATTGGAGTACGTAAAATTTGGTGTCTACGTTACAATGCGAACAAATCAAACGTTTCGAGGAAAGAGCTCGTGGAAGCATTTCTTTAAACGGGCAACACGGATTTAAGAGCTGGATCGGTTTGGAGTTATTACGCCAAAATTAAGCTCATCAGTTGAATGCCAAATGAGGTACTGATCTTGATTCATCGTCCTCTTTCGTCCTCTTTATGACTGCTTAATTAACGTAATCTAATCAACAATGGGTGTTAATTGAGATATCAATTCAGTTTGCATTGCAATCATGATCTACAAGTTGTAGACTACAACATTCATTAGCCGCTCGTCCGATTCACGATATGTGCGATGACGATGGAAAGAATTTTGTTGGTATTAATCGCAGTAATTATATATGCATGTATATGTACGTCAAAGTGATGATATTTAGATCTATTCTCTTATCAATATGGAATTTATTTTATCACTTGATATTTGGCAATATCATTCTCTCAAAGGACAAAATCTGGTGCACAATTATTCACATAGGTATTTAAGATAGATACATATGTATCTAGTTATTTACATACACATATACACATGTTCAAAATACATATATTCATATGAATTGATATATAAATATGTAGAGGATCCTACCGATAACCAATACGTAAGCTTTAAGTGTGTAATTGTGCAAATGCAAGGCCTGTAAACTTCGAAACTGTATTTTTCAAATAACATAAAATTAGAATGTATTACATATTTAAATTCTTAAAAAAACTAGAGGAGAAACTAAACCACGAAATACAATTAGGGCTTTTAAGACATATTCACAGCTATTAATTAACAAGCTAACTAGCAATTTAAAGAAGGATATTAGTTGAGTAATTAGTTTAACTTATGTACAACCGGTCCCCAAAAGTATCCGTTATTTTCATATTTGTACTTTTGATATGATCCAGTGCACTTAGGAGCTTTGAAACGCTGCACATACATAGTTGCATAAACTCATTGGTGAATAACCCCTCGCCGCCCATTTTTCAAATCACCGCCCGGTCAAAGGTCAGATTTTTTAAGCACTTTAAATGCGAGGCCAAAACTAAAATTTCATGGATAATTTTTTTGGAGATTCTAATATTTTTTATTCGGTGTGGCAAGGCCTGACAGGTTTGAGCGCTAAAATCGTGACCGCGGCGAAATTCAAAGAACTGAAATATACCAACCAGATTTGGAGGCACTGGTCACATCCCTCCAGGTCAAGATGGTCATAAAAGGTCGCACAAAGGGACAAATTACTCAAGGCTAGGGAATGAAGGTATTCCTCCTTCGCTAGATTAAAATAGCGCTTGTCAAGGTTGAAATACAATATTTTGACAAATTCTAAATATGTGGGTACCTCATACATACACCGCGACATACATAAACACTAATTTTATCCTGTTAAATTCGCACTAATCAGAGAAAACAGAACCCATTAATGAATGCAAGTACATAAAACTTTTCACACGGATATTATCGAGGACATTGTGTAATATGAAATCAAGCCAAGTAGCGTAATGCCTGTGCCTTTATGAATATAAAAGTAAGGACCTGCCCAAATCTTGAGGGGTCTGCAACTACGTAGCTGCTTCTTTCTGTAGGCAGAACCACTCTGTAGTTTGAAAATCCTTATAAAATTTACCGATTTCTCCAATAGATCAGCCACTAAAGGAAAGGCTACCAGAATACACACATAGATCACCGCACTTAACAATGTTTCTAAAACTAACAACGCATACGGTATGTACCCAGTCATTTTTACGATCATGTATCCCATTAAAACGGCTACCACTATCAGTATTAGAACGAAAATGGGAAAAATGTACGAGTCAATTATGTTCACGACCTGATTGATTATCTCAAGTTGACGATAAGTTTTTATGAAAACAAAATGTTTGCCAATTTTCCTCTCCGATTGAGATGCCACCCTTTCCAACGTTTCCAGGAGGGCAAGGATTATACTAACACCTACAATTCCAAATCCAGATAAAAGTATGCAAGAATGAAGTAGAATGACGAAGGTGAGCACAACTCTGAAGAATAATTGCAATCGGAACGAAATGATGGTAACGTTGCGAAACCAAAGATAGGTCGGATCCAATGTTTGATTCATAATTATTATTAATTATTATTATTCATAATTAATTCCGATGAGTAGTCCGTGTAGTAAAATACCGATCAGATTTGAGGATTCTTTGAAGGTTGCTGCAATACAAAGGCATATATTTAATGAAATCAGGAGTGAAGTCTACACATTATCAAGATGCACGTCTGGTTGTATTAAACTTGTTTACTCGAGGAAACATGTTTACGTACATATTTATCTACGTACATTATACACAAAATGATAGCATTTATTTTTATGTTCCATTAGAGTGGCTTTATTTTTTAGAGTGCATCAAATGATTGGATGCACTCTTCGATCAGTGTGAAGAAAATGTTTCAGCAACATGATAGAAAAATTTTGAAACTTTGTAGTATATAACGAGATGTCAGAATTGGAATAAAGTTCTGTATTGAGAATCTCTACTCCTAAACCAACAATATTTTTTCTATCGATTCCATAGAAAAAGGAATTTTCGGGTTCATGATTCGTAAAAGTTCGTGCATTCCACAATCCCCAGTTCTATCTGAATACATAAATAACCATTTTGAATTGAGTTACCTCTCATTGTCCACAGATTTCTAATCACGAAGCACAGTTCGTCCGCACGTAAATGATAGGTGCAAGCAATTGCGGTGGAAAGGGTGACCGTAGCACATTTTATTACAAGGATAAGGTACATAACAACAGAAATGTCGACATCTTTCTCGTATGATAGCAATTATTGTAGTAGAATGAAGTAATAGTTGGCTATAATCATGGCGCAGAGGAGAGAAAAAGCAAACCAGGGGATTAATTTTGATTTTACCGGGGGATCAGTGGGTACCCATGAGGTCCTATTAAAACTTAGTCGCTGCGGGTATAACAAGTCACTTAATTTTACGTAACGTTTCAATGCCTCGAATGGAGTCAACGTCTTGAGGATCGAAAGTATAAGTGGTAGCCTATTTAAAAAGGTGTGCACGCTTGATGAATTATATACATTCATCTGTCGAATCTTATTTTATGCTAATGATAACACGAAACTTATCACATATTTTGTAGGAAATATACAAAAAAATTTGATGCACAAGCGAAGTTATGTTCTAGACACAAGTTATGATTGCTGGGTGTCCAATTTGCAAGTAAAATTTGGGATGTTAAACCAGTCTTCAACATTTACGTAAAAAACGTAGCAAATAGCCAAATTATGTGTATTCAAAAGCACCCATTTCAAAGTATATGTACACAATTAGTAGCTTGACGGCATTTGAACAATTTAAAGAAATTATAACTTTGGCGAAAATATTTTAACCAACGTATAAACTCGTAATGTAAGGGCCAAACAATTTGTATATGCATTTCTTGCATCGGTCATTTAATTTACCATTAATGTCAGTAGAAACACGATATTTTTAAAACAAATTGAGTTAGCCACATTCTGTTTTATGCGTTTATACTAAATCCTTCATTAACTTGTTCAGTACTGTCGTTATGTAATTTTCTCTCATTTCTATATTTTTTGTTATGCATGTAAATGTATTATGGAACTTTCCTGAGAAAAGGTGAAGTGGGCGACGGAGAGCAGTCCTCTCCGTCGCCCACTTTACCCAGAAATTTTAACTTGCCCCACACTCTCAGGCTAGACGTCAGCCAGCACGGAAGCTAAATTATTGCACTCATCAGTGATTAATTGACATGCATTTTGAGATTCAATGCGGTATGATTTGTGACAGTATTCTGCCCATTGAATCCGAACTTTAACATCAAAATTAAACACCCTATTTGTGCTTCTCACACATTATTTAACATCAACCCTTCCACTATTCACATATACATAACTATACTTCCATCCAAAGGCACACAATTACCATTAACAAAGCGCACCCTTCTTCAAAACTGTTTGTGAGTACAGGTTTAAAATGATAACACCAACTAAATCCCGAAGTGCATATTTCACCAAAACAAAATTTAGGAAATTTTTTTTGAAAATCAAGGTTTAATTGGTTTTAAATCTATAGTAGTGTATTTATACTTATAAAAAATTCTGATCATTTCAAGCACTTGCAAAATGAAAATCATTTATGAATCGAAGGATTGCCAGTCCACTGAAATTTATTAGGAATTACGATTGAAAATTTTTTATACAAAGCATGCATAATAGGATAACACAAAATATATGTATGAAACTAAACTACTATCATCCTTAAATTTAACTGCAGTTACACTCTACCGCCTTATTTATATGTACAAAAAGAAATAAAAAATGAATCCGGACACTAAAAAAGGGGACTCTAAATTAAATATTTTGTCAAATTAAGTAACCTGCCTTAGCTTTGTCAGTTTACATGATACCTAAGCCAACACTTTTACCATTACATGAATATTTAACAAAATTATTAAGTCTCAACTCAAATTAAGTTTGGTTGCCTACCAAGACTGCTGAAGTTCGGAAATTTAAGATTTATACAATTATAATTTCATAACTTAATGTGCGTTCTGAGCGAGCTAATTTAAAACATATAAAGAAGTCTGGAAAGCTACAAGCAATACAAAAATATATGGGTCACTGCAGAGTTTCCATAAGCCGGTGCCATATCTGCATACGCTAACATATGATGATTGGGAAAGTACTACTTTAAATAAATAGTAACGATTAAAGCATATATACATAAATATATCATATACCACAAATTTCAAACTACCCTACTAAGGAGGGGAGCTTGCGAGGTTGATAATAACAGACCTTGGTGCCCTTTGGATATGTGGTAGGGACTCATGAGTGTACTAAAACCCTGAAGTAGTTTGACTCCATGGCCACATTTGCGCCCGCCACACCCACTCAAAAATGTCCAAAAAACGCTTTCACCCCAGTTTTCACTCACTCAAATCCACGTCAAAAATCCAATTTTACTCGGATTTTGAAATTTCTTTCACCATTATACTCCCAGATAGTTGCTTTCTTCAATCCAATATCAAACTCAATTTTATTGATGATTATTTCGCAAACATAATTTGTTTTGTTGATGACTACAACAATGCTCATTCAGA